TACATATAAAATTCTCATTTTAAATACCACAAGGGCTGTCCAACTTACTGTGGTATACTAACATAGTAAAGTGTATGATATCACCTAAAATGAGTGGCCACTTGAAATAAATGGAACTCATAATTAATTTTATACCTTTATTTTAATTATAACAGAGGTATCAGTATTTGACCTGTATTATATAATAGAAGCATTCAAAAAAGGGGCAAGAAATTCTTTGAAGGATTATAATAAAGTTGTGAGCAGCACACAAAATACGAGTACATATAAGCATGAGTTATTGTACTCAAACATATTAAGAGAACATATTATCATGAGAAAGGAGAGGATTGGGATACTATTGTAGAAGTACAACAACTAGGGGTTTTGAAAGGTACCCAGAGTAGTAAATTTTGTACACAGTAAATTGTAAATAATTCAATGGCTAAGGGCTTTATAATCATTGCTGTCTTCTCAAATTGCTGAAATATTGGTCAATACTGAAATAATTTTGAAAGACTTTCTTATATTTTACTTATGTTTCCATAGAGTAGAAACATATATAATTAAACCCTCCCAGCCCAGATAAGGTGGCAGAATATTTAAAATTGAAGATATCAGATATGCTTAATAAATCTAATTCTAATCTGAAAATAATGTTCATTTCTAAAGGAAAAACAAATAAATTTTGGATCTGTTCTTCTTAAACATGTGAATCATACTTTTGGCAAAACTCAGGATAATTGTATCTTTTCTAGTAAAATGTTAGAAGTCGCACATATTTCCAGCAGTTTTAAAAAACAAACAGAAAACATTCCTTTTGAGAGCGACCAAAGGCCATAGGGATGGTTGGACGGAGAGAGGGAGGAGGAAGGAAGGAAAGAAGGAAGGAAAGGGAAGGGAAGGGAATATACTCACACATAAATCTTATTGCTAAAAGTTCAACTTTATATCTAAAAAATGTCCATATATGTGGATAAGCATTTGTTCAATTGAGTGCTGTGCATAATTTTTGGTGATGGGTAAGTGCTTTTGAGTGTGAGGGAGACTTTGGAGCTTAACTCACAAAGTCAGAGCAGAGTATATTAGAAGGATTCTCATTTGTCATCTAGCCAAATTCTATCCATTACATGTGATGTACTAATATTGACAATCATATGAAAATATTCAGCGAAGTTAATCAACTAAGGATGAAAACAGTACTGTAATTCCTATCTACTGTAGTATTTTCTTCCTTTATTCACTAATGACATACTATTTACTAGGCACTTATTTCTAAAATATGGTACAACTTAGACTCAATACTACAATACTAATTTGCTAACTATACTTCTAGCCAGGGAACTCCTTAAAGTCATCCATGCCCTTTCCATTTTTGCATACCTGGCAAAGAGTAGGTTTTCAGTAAATATTTGTGGCACTAAACTCCAACTGACACGAGGAAACGGTTATGCTTGACATCAGAAAGGCCATTATCACCATAATAGCTCTCTCTGCCCACAGTCGGTCCAGTTTCCAGACTTGTTGCTTCCAGGATAGGTTTTCAGAGTTATTTCTTGCCACTAGAGGGCAGGAAATGCTTTGCAAAGGGAAAACATAGTCCCTCCAGTTGTGTTAGCTATTAGACTCCCCAGGAATAAATTGCATGAAGATTGAAGCTATCCTGAAGTCTAAGCTAAAATCTAAGATCTTTAGAAAAGCTTTCCCATTCTTCACCTTTCCCCTCAACCATCTTTGCTTTACTGGTGAGTTTGGTTCAAGTTGATTCATTTGGATTGTTCTGTTCCCTATCCTACCGGGAACCTCCTGACGCATTCTCATAAAAAGGTCTCCACTTAAGGTACTTTACAAACAGCAACCCCATAAAAAGGCAGTAGCGGCGTCCTTGTATTTATGAGGCATGCTAAAGGCCCCCTTACGTTTTCATTTTGGTTAGCCTTCTGGTGTAAGAACACTCCGCTTCCAGAAGCTAAAGTGAAACCCTCCCACTTCTTTGACCTCTTATGTAATCAGGTTAGATCTCCTGAGTCCACGGTTTTTTGGCCACAATAGATGGCTCAACCTTTTGACTGTGTTTCTCTTTTTAAAATTTCTCCCCTTTGAAAATCACAGTCCCTTCCAGCGTGAGTGGAGTAACGGTGAACAATTCCGGTCGTAACGACTACCTCAGCGTCTCCTGGCTGCCGGCGCCCGGAGATGTGGATAACTACGTGGTGACGCTGTCTCACGACGGCACGGTGCTGCAGTCCCTCATCATCGCCAAGTCTGTCAGCGAGTGTTCCTTCAGCTCCCTCACCCCCGGCCGCCTCTACAACGTGACCATAAGTACAAGGAGTGGCAAGTACGAAAACCACTCCTTCAGCCAAGAGCGGACAGGTAAGGACGGGTGAAGCCACAGAGCCGCGTAAGAGCCAAAGAGCATGTGGCTCAGGACATCACAGCGCTGTAACGATTCTATAATGACAGGGTGGGAGGCAGCTGGGATCACAAAACTGTTATGGAGTCTTCATATTTTGACCCAAGAAACTCTTTATGTGAGCAAATGTTACCTTTGGAGTAAGAATAACATCGCTCTTGTGGCTAAAGTTCATATTGTGTTCAAATAGTGTAAAAAAGCATTTCTGTTTAGGAGCACTTTTTGGTTACTAGTGCCTGCCTTTCCATAAGCTAACTAACCCTTATAAACTCTTCAGTGAGGTAGTCATTGTTATTATTCCAGATCAGGAAGCTAAAGATCAGGGAAGTTAAGTAACTCGCCCAACTGTTTATCTTGTTAAACAGCCAGTAAGTTTCAGATCCTGGATTTCAACCCAGTTCTAAATGACTCCAGAGCCTATGAAGCTCTCTGTCCTGAAATCCTCCCTGAAATGTCTGTAAGTCAAGATCACTATTCATCCTTTTTGACACAAGTTGAAAATGTGAACCTTTATAGTTCTGGGACTAGGAAACAAAAATCCTAGCAAAGGAAATGAACCTCAGGTCTGCAATGTGCTGGAAAGAACTAAATTTAGACAGTTACCATATTCCCAATGTATTTATGCTTTCTGGGGTTTACATCTGAGATTTCTGCTTAAGATTGGCATTAATATGTTGTCAAGGCCGGGCGCAGTGGCTCATGCCTGTAATCCTAGCACTCTGGGAGGCGGAGGAGGGCGGATTGTTTGAGCTCAGGAGTTCGAAACCAGCCTGAGCAAGAGCAAGACCCCGTCTCTACTAAAAATAGAAAGAAATTAATCGGACAACTAAAAATATATAGAAAAAATTAGCCAGGCATGGTGGCACATGCCTGTAGTCCCAGCTACTCGGGAGGCTGAGGCAGGAGGATCACTTGAGCCCAGGTATTTGAGGTTGCTGTGAGTGAGGCTGACGCCACGGCACTCACTCTAGCCCGGGCAACAAAAGCGAGACTCTGTCTCAAAAAAAAAAAAAAAAATATGTTGTCAAATCTTTCCTACTAAGCTATGGATTGATTTTTGCATTTAAAAATGTCAGTTTTTCCATGAGGATCTGGGACAATTGACATCATCCTAATACCTAGCACAGGGCCTGGGGCCTATTAGGCACTCAAATACTTGGTGAATGAATAATCGGAAATCACTTAGATAAGGGGTTTTTACCTAGTGGTCTATGGGTGGACTTGAGGAATGTAGTGACCCTGGAAATTGTCCATGAAGTTTTTGGGAATAGGAAAGGTACGTGCATTTCTTTGAAAAGAGAGAATCCAAGGCTTTTATCATATTCTCATCGTTTCTGTGACCCCAAAATGGTTAAGAACTGCTTATGATGGCTTGCATTGTTACAGAATGCTAGCATTGAAAGGATCCTTAAAATGATCTAACCTCATCTCCTCTTTTGGAAACAAAGTCCCCGAGAGCATGTGGCTTTTCCAACGCTGCATGACTGATCAGTAGCATCGCTCAGCTTAGCTCCCCTGCTATGTTTATTATGTCACGCTATATCTGACAGTACTAGTCAGGGACATAAAGAAATTATCCCTACCCTCAGATAAGTTAAAGTCTAATTATACTGATAATCACACTAATGATTTAGCTCTGAAAAGCAGACCTCCATTTACAAAGCAGTCTTATGTCGGTATCTCATAATGATGATCAATGTGGAGCCCCCAAATCACCAGAAATTAAAGGGTATGTCATCCAATTACTAACCTCTTGCTTCCCATCAATGCCACTTCTTGAACATTTCCTATCCATATGACTTTAATATTGTAAGCCTTTTGCTAAGATTATTTGTAAATGCAAGACAAGTGATCCTTTATTTAATGCATCCTCTTGACTCTTACCAGCATCAACTTGGATTTGGTGCATGACTAACCGGAGCAAGTCATTGTCCCTGACAAATAAGTTTAACTGGAGAGTTGTGTCTGAGTTGTTGTCTGGTTGATTTTGGCTGATTATCTTAATGCCATTTTCCTTTTCTAATGCTCTTGTTCTTCATTTTGGGTAAAAATACCAATATTTCTAATTCTGTATCACATCATCCCACCATGTAGCAAGGCAGGTCTCACAAATTATCCCCAGTCCACCTGGAGAGTCCCTTATTGACTTAGCATGGTATTAAGCCTAGTTTTTCTTCCTGTAATGGTTGCTTTGCCTTCCGTAAATTGCTTGGATTATTGACCTTTCTTAGCCCATGCATACACTGTCACTTCATAATTTCCTCTCCTTAACTGTGCAACAACTACATTCGAGCAACACTGTAAGTGGTTTCAGGTAAATATCCTGAAGAAAGCATACCTGTCTTTGCTCCGTATCTGTGGTGAGCTATATTCCAAAAACTAATCAGTAAGTATAATCCAACAAAGTATGCTGATACAACTTGTAGGTATGAGAAGCATTGTAAAAAAAAAAAAAAAATGTAGCTTATGTCATCCTAGCACTCAGGGAGGCCAAGGAGGGAGGATCTCTTGAGGTCAGGAATTCGAGATCAGCCTGAGCCCTGAGCAAGAGTGAGACCCTGTCTCTACTAAAAATAGAAAAAAGTAGCCCAGCATGATGGCACGTGCCTGTAGTCCCAGCTACTCAGGAGGCTGAGGCAGGAGGATGGCTTGAGCCCAGGAGTTTGAGGTTGCTGTGAGCTAGGCTGACGCCATGGCACTGTAGCCTGGGAGACAGAGTGAGGCTTTGTCTTAAAAAAAAAAACAAAAACGTAGCTTAAATGCAAAAATACTGAAATTTCTGGGTCATTTCATATTTGGGGGGAAAGTAGAAGAAAAGACTAGGACACAAGATTGGCATGTGGTTAGAGCAGAAATCCCTTAACATATACCAAACACAGAGGGAAGCCGTACAGCCTAGAGGACTTGATAGTATCAGAACAGAAATTTAGTGCCCTAGATTGAGTTCCTGCCTCTTTTCAATGCTCCTCCTCATTAATATTTATAATGTTCAGTTATAGTCAAATAGTAATGAATCTATGGCCTATTCTTGAATTAAAATTCAGCATCAAGTGAAAAACTAGAATCTCCTTACTATCATGTTCTAAATATAGAATTGCCTTATTTTACAGTGTTCCTGGTAACATGCATTTATTTATTGATTGATTGAGGAGGAAACCATGGATACACAAGATTGTTTGTTTCTTTGTATATTTATTGGGAAGAAACTCAGGTATACAAAATTAGATTAATCATAATTCTTGGTTCAGGAAACCATGCATCAATTGCTACTTTTATTTTTTTGGCATCTAGTTAGTAATTTTTAATAATTTAACATGTACATGGGAAACCACTACCTAAAATAAAAGCTAGGACCTTAACAATAATCTACATCAAATCTTGTGGTTCCCACCTCGATAATACATACCAGAGTAACCAACATCTTGACTCCTATGTTTATATCTCCCAAGCTTTCCATCTTGCATAGTTTTATTGCATCTATAGATAGACTGAAAATTATAGGTCTTTAAAATTTTCGTTGCTTTAAAATTATTTTTTTAAAAAGATATTTTTAATGCAATATGTAATCTTTTGGAGATTGAAAATTTTCATTTATTATATTGATAAGTTTCATCCATATTTTGTGTTTTGATGTAAAGGGCAAAAAAATCTATATCTTGTGTTTTGAGTTAAAAAGAAGAAATCAATTATAGTATTTCACTGTGTTCATTATTCAATCACTTGTAGAGGGACATCCTCTCCAACATTTAGTTTTATGAGGTTTTTAAGTTTTGCCAGTCAAATGGATGTAAAATGGTATTTCACTGTAGTTTTGACTTGCATTTCCCCGATCACCAGTGACATGGGCAATCTCTTTATGCATTGTGTGATTAACCATATGTGTTTCCTCTTCTTCCATTTTTCTTTTGGATTGTTTATACTCTTCTTGGTAACGTATCACATCTTGAGTCACCAAGGTATGCTGGAATTATTAATAGCATCACCATCATCCATGTTAATCATCATTTACCATGTTTAATGTTCCATCTTATAATGACATTTTGTGGTGGCAAACAACAGGATTAGAATGGATTCATCAGGTTCTGTTAAAAGATCTATTTAATCACCCCAAGTAGTGTAACAATCTGTCACCTCCAGAAATTCGTGATCTAGAGATCTAAGATTTTTCTTTGAAATGCACGCAATAAAAATCTACTCACTTTGCTTTATCGTCCCAGGTTGTCATCTGTGATACACTGCTCACTCAGAATCACTACATCTTTAGCTGTTCTCTGTTCTCTTTTTCAGTGCCTGACAAGGTCCAGGGAATCAGTGTTAGCAACTCAGCCAGGAGTGACTATCTAAAGGTATCCTGGGTGCATGCCACCGGAGACTTTGATCACTATGAAGTCACCATCAAAAACAAAAACAACTTCATTCAAAAGAAAAGCATTCCCAAGTCAGAAAATGAGTGTGTATTTGTTCAGCTAGTCCCAGGACGGTTGTACAGTGTCACCGTTAGTACAAAAAGTGGACACTACGAAGCCAGTGAACAAGGGAATGGGAGAACGAGTAAGTGGAATGATTGCAAAATCTCACGGTTGGTTGGACTTGAAGGTCACCGAATAAATAATTTATCTGAACCTTGAATTTTCTCTACTTACTGATTAGTACATCACATTCCCAGTACCTCTCACTTGGAGCTAACATCATTCAGCCAAGCCATGGCCCATAATTACAGCATATTTATTGGTAGATAAAAGCAAGCATAGTGGGGGAGCAAGAAGGCCAAATGTCCCATTTTTCTTTCCCATCTTCCTGCATCGTGGCATTAAAACTCCAGACTTCTCGTTTTACTTTACGACTGAGATCATAACTCATTTTATAATTATATTCTACCAACATTTAGCATATAAGATTTCTGTCAGAAAAAAAATCACAATTTTAATCGTTGCTTCCGATTTTTCTTATTTAATTATGCATGAAGTAGTTCAAGTGGTTTATTTGGGGAAGGGAGACGTCTGCCAGTTCCTTGAATGTGATTCATAAATTATTGTGTAGGTAAATTCCGATCAGTTCCTTTCCTGAAGTGTCTTCTCATTTTTCTCCCCAGTTCCAGAGCCCGTTAAGGATCTAACATTGCGGAATAGGAGCACTGAGGACTTGCAGGTGACTTGGTCACCAGCTGATGGGGACGTTGACCAGTATGAAGTCCAGCTGCTGTTCAATGACATGAAAGTATTTCCTCCTTTTTACCTTGTAAATACCGCAACTGAGTATCGATTCACTTCCCTGACACCAGGGCGCCAGTACAAAATTCTTGTGTTGACCATCAGTGGTGATGTACAGCAGTCAGCCTTCATTGAGGGCTTAACGGGTAATTTGAAATATTGTTCTTGAACCTGAGTAGACACAGTGGGGTATTCAACATTCAGGTAGCCCATGCATTTTCGATTGAGGGTTTGGAGGGGTTAAAAGGGAGATGCCTAGATGGGAGAAAGTTATCTTGATAGTAACAATGATGTTGTCCAAGCTGGGTTAAGAAAAACAAAGCATAATACGGGGAGGGGATGTGGTGTGGGGAAAAAGCTTTCAGAGAAATAGCATTAAATTGTTGTGACTATCTGGTGTTTGTGAGGCATACAGATTAAGTCTAAATAACTCTGTTGCTTGGTTATCACCTCTTTGGAACTCTATAAAGAGTGTTGACAAGTATTGACAGTTCACCATCAGCCAGACCTGCAGCAAAGCACTTCACATCTTGTTCAAGCCTCACAATTCTACAGGCTGGTTACTATTATCATCATTGCCATTTTTCTGATGAAGAAACTAAAACTTAAAAAGGTTAAGCAATTTGCCTGTAGTCCCACAGCTAGTAAATGAGAAAACCAAGACTTGGACCAAGGCAGTCTAACTAGCCCCTGGTGATGTCATTGGCGTTCTTCATTTCCGCTCACTGGCCTTGATCTCCCTCTAAACTTTCCCTCATCAACTTCGGTTCAGGCAGAAAAGTCAGAGAAAAATGGCAGATTTATATCTTTTTTCATGTGTGTTCTTTAAGTAGATACTGAAACGTAAGAAGCGTGAAAACTTTGGTTGAGAATCTCCACAGTTCATTCCCTAAGTGATGGCTTTTAAATTTATTTTCTTTTTTAGTTCCTAGCGCTGTCAAAAATATTCACATTTCTTCCAATGGAGCCACAGATACCCTGACAGTGACCTGGTCTCCTGGTGGAGGAGATGTTGATTCCTACACGGTGTCGGCATTCAGGCAGAATCAAAGGGTCGAGTCTCAGACTATCCCCAAGCACATCTCTGAGCACACGTTCCACAGACTGGAGGCCGGGGAACAGTACCAGATTGTGATTGCCTCAGTCAGCGGGTCCCTGAGGAATCAGATAGATGCGCTCGGGCAGACAGGTGAGCATCCACCTGGAGAAGGGTTGTAGCATGCCTCATGGTTCCCCATAGTGGGACAGTGAATGGGTTCAGGCGTCCACAAATCAAAACATGTAAATTTACTCCATGGTATACCTATACCACATTTTATTAATCCACTCATGTATTGATGGACAGTTGGGTTGTTTCCACATCTTTGCAATTGTGAATTGTGCTGCTATAAACATTCGGGTGCAGGTGTCTTTCTTATACAGTATCATTTGGTCTTTTGG